TAACATCCTCAATCATATCCCCGGCTTCATTTCCGTCTATACCAAAAGCGTCTTCGCCATCGCTCAGTTCCATGCTGTCATCTTCGTCTTCGTAACCCTGCTCTCTTTCATCGCCACGATCGAACCCTTCCTCTTCATAAGCGGGTCGCTCCTCACCGATGCTATCAGTAGGTGTCGCAGTGAGATCGAGCTTCCTTGAGGGTGTTTCGTCAAAGTATGACGTTGCGGAGAGAGGTGAAGGGCTGCGTACGTCATGGAGAATCTTTTGGAGGGTGCGACAATCGGCTGGGGAAAAGTTGGAACCCCGTGAGTTGGTGGGTGTTGAGCGTGAGCTCATGTTGTCGTCGCCCTGCAGAGATGGGCTATCGCCTAATGAGGTTGGTCGAGGTGGTGTAGAAGGCATCACGGTCGGCGGTGGCTGCGGACCATCGTGGGTCTTGTTGTTTGGTGACGACATGATAAACACGTGGTATGATATTTCTCTGGTTGAGGTAGTCGCGATCAGTATGGAAGGCGACGGCGAGGTAGGGACGAGTCGTGGGACGATAGAGCGCTGGTATAATTGGACGCGACAAACAACAGACAAGCGCGATGACGAAATCGGGATAGGGCAAGCACGTCTGAACAAAGTTGGGATAAGTAATAACAGGCGCACGCGACAGCCAGATCAGCACGCCTACGACTTTACACCTTCCTCACCAACACGTACACCCCTCAATACGTATCCATTACTCCTAGCTTCAGCCGCTTCTCTCAAGATCGTCTCTTCGGTCTCCTCACTGCGCACCTTCCATCTCACCATGTACGGCTTCGCCATTGTCGTGCTTCCGACAGCATCGAACGCTTCATCGCTGATATCTACCTGCACTTCATTCCCCTGTTGATCTTTCGGCGGCAAGATGTCGAAAGCCCATAACAGCTTGGCTAGCACGATGAACATACTATTCTCGGCCAGATGCACGCCCGAGCAGATCCTGCGGCCCGCACCAAAGGCCCAGTGATCACGGCTTGCAGCTGGGCCGGCCGCATAGTGTCCACTTCCATGAGGGTGGTTGAGATAGCGCTCGGGTTTGAAGCTATGGGGGTCCTCGAATACATTGGAATCGTAGTGTATTGGGTATTGTTGCAGGCATACGACTGACTTGGCAGGTATGTGGATGCCTTTGTAGGTTATAGGTGCAGTCGTGTAATGTGGTGTACCGATGTTAGTGACGGGGCGTAAGCGTAGAGTCTCTTTGACGATGGCACGGATATAGGGTAGTTGTGGTTCGTCTTCGAATGTCGGTGATCGGGAAGGCGGAATGACACCTCTGATTTCGTCGATTGCTCTCTGTCGTGCGTCCGGGTTCGCGCTGAGGTAGAGAATAGCAGTGTTGAGTGCCGCGGATGTTGTCTCACTGCCCGCTTCGATCATGCTACCAGCTAGGAACGCCGCCTGCAGTTCACTGATACCTTGCTTCTCGTAATCGCTCTCGATGACTATAGGCGTAAGGGGTCAGGATATATCTCACATGAAGTTCTCATAGCGACATCACTCACATTGCTTGACGAAGCATTCCGGGGCCTGTTTGGTCTCCATCTGAGTCTTGAGTGTACTCCAGAAAGACATCCACAAATTGGCTTGTTTGTCAAAGTAGGGTTTGACGCCCTTACGCCACCATTGTAGTTGCGGGGGGAGCTTGCCGAGAAACGGAAGCGTGTCTGCTAGGTACGTCCCTGGTTTCGCGATGGTGGAGAAGTCGTTCATTATGTCGTAGATACCGTGCACTTCGTCGCAATCCTGCCACATGTCAGCATTGATATTTTCATTTACTCAAAAGCGCTACTCACCCATTCTGGAATGCGTCTCCCATACGTGCTAGTCATGATGACGCTCACAGTGTATCTTCGGATGGCCTTGTAGCTAACTCCATTCCCTTTCGCTGCATCTGCACCCTTCAGTATCTCTTCAAGCAACATCTTCGCCTCAAAATCCTGACTGGGCTTGAATGTCGCACTGACAGCAGGTGTCAAAAGCTTATGACTGATGCCTCTCAGCTTCCGCCATTCCGGTCCATATTCCATAAAGAGGAATCGCATGCCACCACCAAGTGCATCACCAGATACCGGCAACGGCGTTCGAGAGCTTGTATGGGCAGATTGTTTATCCAGAATCTCCTTACATGCTTCGGGTGAGCAGATCATGTACCAGTCGTTCCAGCCAAGACGTATCTTGTAGACTTCGCCGTACTCGCGAGCCCACGCGGTGATCTGCTGGTGCGGCTGCTGGCCTAATTGGTGTGCATTCCCGAGAACGGGAAGGCCAGCAGGACCTGGTGCGACTTTCGTTCCAGTTGGTGGTCTGTTGTTGTATCGCGTGTACAGTATAAAGCCCAAAACAGATAGCAGGAGTAAAGTGATGGCATACATGTGGGGCTACTTGGAAAGGACACCGCTCAAAGAGCATGTGAGAGGAAACTCGAGGGAAGTACGAGCGAGTAGTACGTCTAGCAACCGCCTATCTTAATGATCGGACATGCGCGGATATGCCCATGGTATATCAACGTATCGCGAAGCGTAGAGTGTTTGATGCATGATCATGCAGGTTCCCCACATGTTCGGGTGGATGAATCCTACCTAGGTACCCTTTGCATACGTAAAGCGGGAGAGGGGAATGCGGAGTAAGTCCTGGAGCCATGCTTGTGAGCTTGTGAGTTTGTTTGGACATGTACGTTACTCCAACTTCCGACGTATTCGGTCCGTGTACAACCTTGGAAGACTTCGAGTTTGGTGTTGGGGAAGGTCTCGAGGTCTCGTAGCGCGTACTTCCAAAACTGCGCGCCGACACAAGCTCGGCCGATATCCGTCGCGTAGTCTTCACCACCAACCTTGGAAGGACAGGTCGCGTACTGCTAACTTTGTCTACACACTACCTCCATTGCGATGACATGCGCAGGATGATTAGATTGTCTCAGGTAATCAGAGTGCGCGACGAAGGCCGAGCGACCCTGGATCCGCAATTTTGGCAGTCCTTTAGTCAGCCGTCCCTGTCGGCTCTTCGTAGCCACCGAGCGCATCCATCGTTCCTCCAGGCAGCCAGAGAATCGTGATTCAGGCGCGCAACAAGCTCACGGGGCGCGTCATAGAGTCCATTCAGCTCTACGTATAAAGGCTTGCGCGTTAATCTCATAACTGACATCGTAGGATATGCTTACTCGTCTCACAGCTCGCACGCCTTTGCGCTTCCTTACATCCAGCCTGTATTTGTCCAGTCTGCGCCCGTCAAACCTCCAATCGTTGAACCTCCCGAACACATTATCGCGCACGATGTCCACCTCCACCTTCTCACTCGACCCCGCCATCTTCAACAAGACACTGTACAAAAAGATAACAGACATATGGTTCCCTGGCGTCGACACCAGCGGCAAGGAGTTTGACATGAGCATCGCAAAGCGCTGGTTCGCAGGCAGTCCTGAAGAGCGAGTTGCCCTCGACGGCCAATGTAGGGATGTCTGCGGCAAAGCCCTTGAGGCCATTGGCCCAGAAAAGTTCCCAGAAGCGACTGCGCAACCTTTCCTAGACGAGATTGCGCGCGTCGCGGAGGAAGAGAACAAGGCAGATGGCGCGACAGGAGAAGATGCAGCATGGACAGCACTGAGCTTCGCACTCCTGTTAGACCAGATGCCGCGGAATATCTACCGCACAGATGAAGGGCTGCGCCTGGTGTATGGGCATTACGATCGCATGGGCGATGCGCTCGTTCGCAACCTTCTATCCTCCGCATCGCCCATTGGCCGTCCCGACAAACACCCTGCGCTCCGTTTCTCTGCCGCGCATAGGACGTGGTTCTACATGCCGCTCATGCACAGCGAAGATCTGTCCGCACACGATCTCGCCGAGGAAATCATAGCGGAGTTCGCGCAAGAACTCGAGGGGTTGGACGGGTACAATGGCACGAAGATGTTGATTGAGAACTACCAGAAAGCTGCGAAGGAACATAGGGATCCAATAGAGCTGTTTGGTAGGTATCCGCATCGAAATGCTGCCTTGGGTAGGGCTAGTACAGAGGCGGAGAGGAGGTTTATGGAGGAGGGCGGCGCAACATTTGGGGTTGCGCAGAATCAGAACGGTAACACTGCGAAGTCAAATGGAACGTAGATAACCTAGTATATGCTGAATTATTACTATCCTCGTCATGGCCTTCCAGTGTGTGTGTATGCGTGCTCGAAATTTTTCAGATTGATGTGCTAGTAGTGCAACACAGACGCAATACTACAGTCTCTCCCCCGGTCCGGGTGCCTGGCGTAGATTTCAACCCTTTTAGCTAATAAAAGAGCGCAGCAGGAGTAAAGTAGATACCTTTGTAAAGGATAAAACCTCTTAAATAAGGCTTTATTTACTAGCTTTTCTTCTTAATAAGGGTTACGCAATGCTAGCAATGCTAGCAAAGTGCGTAGTACCTAGCAACAAGAGATTTAACAAATTACAACTCCTAAAATCGCTAAGACGCAGTAGGCACCCGAACTGGGGGGGAGACTGTCGATTGTAACCGCAATGCAAGTATTCTTCCTGTCACGAGATAGAGTATCACATCGTTGCGCACAAAACATATGAAGTCTTGACGCGCTATCGTACAACCAAGTTGATTTGCTTGACAGGGGCATGTATATCTGTTGACCCTTCAATCTGAATATCTCAATAACCTACCTAATAATGCAAAAAGAGGTTCTGCTGCCAATCCTGGTCTCTCTGACCCCGCCAGGGCCTCCAGAAGCGCAAAAAGATGGGTCTTACCGCGACTCGAACGCGGGGCCTCTCGCAAGCTATGCTTGGGTTTGCAAGCGTCCAAAGACGCTTGACGCAGAGTTTACCAGAGATTCACGTCGGGCTTTCGCAGCGTGTAGTGGTATGATTCTTGCTTTTATCTAGTGTATGAACCCTGCCTCTAAGCTTGGCCAATGTCTATCATCGCCGTACGGCTCACAACTATTTCCAAGAACAACTCAAGACTTCCAACTTCCTCAAAGATCAAAGAGCATCTCATCGTCAGGTCCCTCATCGTCACCGCCTTGGACACGATCTCCACGGGCCATCTTCTCCGGCCTTCGAGTGTCGTTGAAGTCGTGATCATTATCGTCGTTGTCTTCGAGATCAGAGTCGCCATCATGCTTCCTCTTTCCAAGCTCTTGGCCTGCATCAGATTCATCATCCGTCTCCTCGCTCTCCTCGATGATCTCGGTGTCGTACTCCAATTTCGGTGGTGTGAAAGGCGCCAGGATGCCGTTGTGAAACTCATTCAAGTCCTTGACCTTGTAAGAGGCGTAACCGTTCTTGCTTGTCTTGTTCGCAGTCTTCAGAGTAATGGTGGTCGTCTTCTTAGTGCTTTCTGCCAGGGTTCCAAGAGCAATGACTATGATATTGGACATCAACATCCTCTCAGTGATTCCAAGTTCTGGCAAGTGCACAACCGCAAGAAGGGTCCTCAGGTGAGGATGATTTTGATAGGTTGGCGCATGACAGAATCGAGCCAACATTCGATAGACAGAAGATGGGCTCTCAGAAGCGCTAGCCATGTTGAAAGAGATTCCATCTGCAGGATCACACATCTCTTGAAGGAACTGTGAAAACAACCACAGCATGTCGCCAGGATTTGCAGGAGTGCAGTTCTTCTTGACAAGTGTAATGTAGGCGATCATGGAAGCCTTATGCAGAGACTTCAATGCTGGCACTGGAAGCGAACGAGTAGTGGTCTTGAAGAAATCGGCCGGATATCGTCCAGCAAGCGGATCAGTAGTTGACATGCCAGTCGGAACGGCGTTCATCAGGTACTCGTCGATGTCAACCCCGGTGACATCCTCCCAGTGCTCAAGAAACTCTTGGTCCTCGGTTTCATCCAACTTCGCATACACCACGAGAGCTGAAATCGGTAAGGTACAAGTCCTGGACTGACCGCTGTGAAGAGCCTTGACCTCACCTTGAGATTCACCGCTAGGGCTTCGAACGTCGAGCCCGTCTCCGGTGTAGTACATGAGGCGCTTTTCAGAACTATCACCAAGAACTCCCGCTGGAAGTATAAGGGGACCGATCGTCCACTGGTGATCTTCGCCGTGCATCTCGAGTGATGGTTCTTTCCAGCTGAGGATGTGTCGGTCTCGGTCGTTCCTAGGAGCGACTGCGTCGGCCAGTTGGGTAGCACGAACATGGATCTCATAGCCTCCGATGGCAGCGCTGCTAGAAGTTGATGTGGTTGTGATCTGCAGTTTCCGGTTCCTCTTTCGCTCTTTGCGGATGGCCTTCTTTGGAGATAAGGATCGAGTCGGTTTGGCCTTCGGTTGGCCTACGTTCTTGATCCTCCTACGTACAGCCCTCCCTTGTGTAAATGCTTTCGTGGCGTCGATAGTCTCCTGCTTGACTCTAGCAAACGCGCGGCCGAAATCGTGGTCTGTAGAGAGTACCTTCTGGAGCGAAACCGCGATCTCACCACAAAGCTCTTTACGGGTCCAATTCCTGGATGTATCCTGGAGCAGGTCAAGCGCCACACCCATGCTGAACCAAACAAGCTGGTGAACATAAAAGAAGAGGGTTGTAGCCTTGACCGAAGGCAGACCTGCTTGGGCGAGGTAACCGGGGTGATAGCAAGGTATGACTATAACTTCGTCGTCTCCATCCACTCCAATCGTACGAATATGGGGTTGTCCAAAGAGCTGTAGGAAGTAATCCGAACCCAAATCAACGTTCGATGATCGCTGGGTCTCGAAGAACGATTTGATGGTGAGGGGCTTGAACGACGCAAGGGCGTAGTAGGAGGGCAGCTGACCATACGTAAGAAGAATGAGCGGTTTGGTTGCACTGAGATATCCAAGCAAGAGTTCGCCGGCTTTCGCATAATCGGCTTCGTCTTTCTTGAACCACGGGAATAGATCCGCAAAAGGAAGATATCCGGACTTAGACATAGTCTTTGTGGTTCCTGACTTGAAGGCAGAACCGGCTGGCTTTTCCCAGTACGCGAGATAGTCGAAGCATGAATTGACGATGTTGGCAGATCGACGTCCGCTCTGGTAGAAAGTACTATCTTCGTGGTCGTCCTGCCCGATGTCTGATGCCACGGTCGTCAACAAAGCGCAACCGATGGAGAGCATGGCTGGGGTAGCTTGATCTCGCAAATGCTTTTGGAGCTCGCTGGAAAAGTCACGCTTGTCCACTCCCGTCGAAACCGGATTCTTAGCAGTGTATTTGCGGGCGCGATCAACATATGTCTCGATGGACTCCTCGACATCTTCTGAGCAGGGTTGAAGTAGCTGCAGAAGACTGGATGTCTTCGTTCGCAACGTCAAGAATGCATCTTCGTCGCCTGTGTTCATAGGCGAAATCACATCCCCGCCACCAGCCTGCGCGTTGACGACGCCGAGACCGAATAGCGAAATGAGAAGTTGCTCGCGTAGGTCAGATGAAACAGCTGACAACGTGGAACCCGATGTCGCGCCCGTAACGACGTCCACTTGGACGTTGTCGATGATTTCCGGATACTCCTCTTTAGTGACCTTGAGGAAACGGCCGAACCACGTATTCGACTTGCCTGAGGCGTGGCTGATATCCTGGGTGTGGCGCGACCAGGCGCGACCACTGGTCATTCCACAATAGCGAACAGTCCAACGTGTATGCATGCGTTTAGCTTCTTCGACGGAGTCCGCTAGTTCAAGCCAGTAGAAGAGCTTGTCGTTCATGTCATAACTTGCATCCATGAGTAGGCCAAGGACTGCACAGAACTCATCGATTGTGAATTCGAACGTACGGATGTAGAACACGGTGGTATCAGGGTCTGCAGCTGTCTCGGAATCGACAGTTGTCAGGTTGAGCAATGTAAGAAGTTCCTGACTAGTGATCTCGAAAGGATTTTGAAGCAGCGAGACCCATGATCTCGTGTCATCGAGCCTGTAAAACGTTGGTTAGTTTAGTTCACGTCCGATTCTGCGTTGCGAAACTTACGATGTTGGAAGCGCCCACTTGAAGGACTCTGCCTGCAGTAACGGCGACGCGATGTTGCTGCGCCTGAGTCGCTCGACCAGGAGACTGAAGACCGCATCCTGCAATTGCTTGAGGGTTGTGTATCCCGAACGCGGAAGTTCGCCCCATGGCAGCAGGCTGAATCTGCTCTCGATCTCGTTGCCCTCCGTGATGTTTCGACGCGGCTTGTTGTCAGGCAGAGCAAGGATGTCCGAAATGGAAGGCTGGCTAAGCGATCCGCCGTGATCGTGTGGCTGCGAGCCAGCTTCATCGCCGATGGAGTGCGGAGTTTGGTCCGCCATCGTACTATTGGCTTACGATGCTGGTGTGAGGGGTAGGCGAATCTGCAGAATGACTCGCGGGCGTGTGGGATGCGTACCGACTTTTTACGCGCTAGTGCTAACCGATGGATCTAAGCCCTAAGAGTTCTACCTAGGTAACCAATGACGCTTACTAAAGCCAAAACTTTGGGCTCGAGACAACTGCAGCCAGGATAGTGGCGCAACACGAGGTTTGCTATCATCAGCAGCACCACAAGACTCGTACCCATACACTGGCACAACTGTTATCGGACAGCAGTCAGCACATTGTATGATGTTTGTGTCTTCCGTAATGCATCGGAGGTGGCCGAACCTTCCTTTGTCGCCATAGCTCAGTGCCCCACTGGCAAACCTCGGCTGGCGTCATCCAGTTTCCCCAAATGATCCCCGCGTCGCGTCGCACTCTTCTCTTCCTTCCTTTCCTTTCCCCACCATGTCAACAACCGCCGTACCAAAGTTCAGCCCTGGTGAAGCTGTGACCGAGAAGGATGGGTTGATCCATGGCGTTTCGGCGCAGGAGCTGCAGGTTTTGGGCGAGCAATGCTTTGATGCTAGGGCGAGGGCTTACTGTATGTTTTTCAGGCTTTTACTACGCAGCGTATGATGGTAGAGGGTGTTGAGGATATTTTGGTTGGAGATTGGTACTAACAGAATGTTTGATCAGGCCCATACTCCCTCTTCCGCGTCGGCGCATCCCTCCTCCTGACCACCTCCTCCGCAACCGACACATCCGCCGCGCACACTATAATCGGCGCAAACGTAGAAAACGCGGCTTACCCAGTTGGAACATGCGCTGAGCGTGTTGCCATGGGTACAGCCGTTATCGCAGGCCACCGCATCGGAAGCTTCAAGGCTGTTGGCGTTACAACCGACATCGACGACTTCTGCTCGCCGTGCGGAATGTGCAGACAATTCCTGCGCGAGTTTCTGGCACTAGAGACGCCCATCTTTATGTTCAACAAGGAAGGAAAGTGGATTGTGAGGACAATGGGCGAGCTGCTCCCGCTCAGCTTTGGGCCTGACGTGCTGCCACCGAGGGAACAGCTGAGGAAGAACCAGGAAGATGATAAAGCGAAGACGGCATAGAGTGTGTCATGGGAAGCAGGCATTGGCGGCGTTGTGAGGCAGATACCAGGGGTTTAAGCATCTTGAAGGGCGTTGGCGGGAGGTGTACGGATATGATGGTGACTGGCTGTCAGAATCGGGTGGTGAATGCTATACAACAGAGCTTCAAAGCTCACAAATGCACATCTTAAAATCTTCCTCACAACTGCATCTCCATCATGCGTATACTTATTGGAGCTGTCCGTAAACGAAGCTACCCAGACCCTTCCCTGCCCTTCCCTGCCCCACGAGAGCCCCGCGGAAGCCACCATGCAGCCCGATAAGATGCCGATAAGCTGCCAACCCAGCCAGCAATCGTACGCCTGTTCCGCATCTCCGCGCCCCGTGGATATGTACACTGACATAATACCTCCTGCCCAAGCAAGCAGCTGTCAATCAATACCTAACAATGATGTGATGTCCTATAGACGCGCTGGTGCGCGTGTCTTCTTTTTCACGTAGTCCTTCGTTCATTGCGCATTCCCGATACCCGTGGAGATTTGTGACCATGGCCAACAACACGAACGGAACTGGCGTTAGGGAGGCCGGTATCACTGATTCGGAGCACTTTTCACCATACAGAGCGGATGGGAAACTGGTAAGTTATCAACATTGCGAGAGACGGAACGGAAGGTTCCAGAGAATGTCACGGAACGAACAGAGGGAAGACGGGCTAACATTGCGATGTGATATAGTATGGCTTCGTATGCGTAGTAACAGGCGCAACACAACCCGTAGGAAAAGCAATCGTCGCTGAACTCGCCGGTACATCACAACCCCTCAACCACACCCACAACCACTTGCTAACACTCCTCCCAGCCCACGGCGCAGCATGCATATACGCCTGCTCTTCCCTCCCCTCCGAACCCTACGCCGAACTCGCCGACTCAATAAACGCGCAATACCCAAACACAAAAGTAATCGGCTACCCCTACAAGATCAACTCCGAAGAAGACACCCTCGCCCTCATCGACGACGTGCTGAACTCCTGGGGCCGCCTCGACGTCTGGACGTCTTCGACCGGTCTACTCGGCCCGCCGTCCATCAATCAAACTGGTCCAAAAGATCTGTACGCCGCGTTTGACACGAACGCCATGCCGGCTTTCTTCGCCCTCAAGTACGCGCCGGCTGCTATGCAGAAGACGACGCCCAAGGGGAGTTATCCTAATGCTGCGCCGAAAGATGTTCCGTATGGGAGTATTATCGTTGTGACTAGTGTTGCGGGGACGTATGGTGGGTGCTGGGCGCCTGCTTTTACTATGGCGTCGCATGCCGCGCTTGGTGTTGTGCGCTCTGGCGTTTTGGTGCTCAAGGGGACGGGGGTGCGTATCAATGCCATCACGGCTGGGCAGATTGATGTGGGTGTTGATCTGAAGGACTGCGGTGTCAAGGAGATGGCGCAAGGCCAATTCCCGCCTGCTGCGTTACAAGGGAAAGAGAGTCAGAAGAGGACGATTGGGCTGGAGAGGGCGGGTAGGCCGGAGGAGGTGGGTAGGACGGTGGGGTTCCTGGCGAGTGGATTCAGTAGTTATATTACGGGCGCTGAGTTGAGGGTTGATGGCGGGGCGGGGGTTATGAACCCCATCACTGTTCCTGTTTAGAAGGGATGGATAGCCGATGGATAGCTGAATTGTTCCGGCATGTCGCGTCGTAGTATCGTACAAGAGCCTTCCAACCTTCCTACACACCATCTAATGTTGCAGCACAACCGGCGCCCCCTTCTCCCAATTCTCAATGCTCTCTTTGATATTGACCCAATACCTCAACTTAACCGCCTCGCTCTTCGCTGCCTCTAAATCGTCCCTCTTAAATGCCTTGTCAATTATCTCCGTACTCTCCGCTATCCTCTCTTCATTCCTCTCCCGCATCTCCACCAGATCTTCTTCGCTTTCTGCCTCTTCTATGCTCTCTCTGGCGTCCAAGACCTCCATCAACAGCTCCGGGTCTTCTACCTTCGCTGTCTCATCTTCTGCTACCTCTATTCCGCGTAAGGATAGCAGATATTGTGCTCTTAGAAGCGGGTTCTGGAGTGTTTTGTAGGCCTCGTTGATGCGTGATGAGAGGGCTTCGGCGCGTTTCTTGTCGGCTTGTGGATGTAGATCGGGGTGGGCGCGGGCTTGTAGTTGGAGGAATTCCTTCTTGAGAGCGGAGAGGTCGATGGCGAAGGGGCCTTCTGGGGGCGGGCCGGATGGCAAGGAGTTGGGGAAGAAGGCGTAGTGTGTTTGTGGGACCTGGGACGATTGCGCTGTGGAAGATTGCTGTGTCTCGAATGGCTTTTCGACTTTATTCGAGCTGGAAGAGGAGGATTGAAATCGACGTGATATCGTCTGGGGCGGTATGCGATGTGCGCAGAGCATGCACGGTGTTGCGCTTGGTCGCGTACGGAACGGCGAAGTGGTGGGCTCGGTGAGAGATGTGCGGATTCTGCGCGCTGCAGATGAACGTACGGAGCGCATTATGGAGATATTAGGAGGTGTATAGGATGGTGATTAGGATACGCGATGCGGTGGTGAGTTTCGTGGCCAGAGTGAGTCTTCTAGAAGCGCAGAGGCGAGAGATTTCCGCATTGAGTTCCGAATGGTTACGTCATCCGTCGCCGTCTCTCACCCACGGCGATATTGAGGAATGCCGATGCATATGCACTAGATACGTTCAAGGAGCTTTGTACGGCATTTCGTGCACTATGAACAATTTGAGTCATAGTCTGCACGCGGCCTAGGTGAAACCTGGCCGTCTGGATCTTTTGAATATTTTACCATACACAGGAAGCTGACTACAAGAGTAACTTCCAAAGTGCTTCGACTTGATTAATGTACCCCAGGGATAGACTGCGTCTCTTGCAATAAGAGCAGCCCCTTGTAGTGTCTCAACGACACTGACAGGATCATCCACAGACAACGCCACGGATTCGCGTAGAGAGCATTGTTACTGCCGAGGTATCGCAGCCCACACGGCTTGTTGTGCTATTCTAGCTATGTATGTTCGCGGATGTATTCGAGCCATCGGGCTGACTTCGCGACGTGCTTGATAGTTCATTACTCGCCGTATTCAAGCAAGGCATGCATACCTACAGGCCAATAGTCTCATGATATCAGTCCTTGCAAGGTATCTGACCGAGCAACCTATAACGCCTGACTTCAACGAGTTGGCTCATGACAAAGGCAGAGTATACCCAAGCGCGACAAAGATCCATGTCAAGTAGGTTCCTGCTCACCATCCGAACCAACTCCGCTTTGGCGAGGCTTTTCTTTCGCCTCCTCATCAGCCTCGCGAATCCGATCCTCAAACCGTCGCAGCAAACGCCCAGTGGCTTCTACGTTCTTCCGCATCTGATCAGCATCCTCTTTCAGACGCTTTAGGTGCTCAGCGACGTGGAAACCGCTATCGGCTTCGGATATCTCACTGGCACGGGCGGCAGCGTGGTCGAAGTGTCGCAACAACTCTTTTTGTCTTGACCAGGTTGTGCGGATTCGCTCGGTGGCGATGCGCGGGCCACGATAGTTGTGTTGAGCAACCTCGGCTGAATCGTGTGGAAATTCGTACGGCACCGTGGTGGATTGGGATGTTGCATCGGACTCGACGTTTGATCCTGTTTGCTCGATTTGCCGTAGTTGCTTCAGGGCATCGCGTTCGTGGTACTCGAGGATTGCACATCGGGTAACTATGTCAGCGGCCATGTTGTTCAGCAGCTGGATTTCCCGTCGGAGCAGATCCTTCTCCCCGTCTTCCTCTGCATGCTGATAAAACTCGTGTTCTTTCTGCCCAAGGTATCCCCAGACGTATTGCCACTCCGAACCGATGTTGTTCTTGAGCTCTCGAACTTGCTCCAACCAGTCTTGTATTTTGCTTGCATCTCTTGACTGGAGATTGTCCTTGTACGCGCGGTAGCCGTTCTCTATATCGGGTCCTGCAAGTTCACCCTCCTTGAATTCGGTCTGGAAGACAGTCTCTTTGTCCATCTCAGCCTTCAATGCATGCAACGGGCTACCATGCGGTGACTGCTGACCACCAGGACTACCGCTAGACCCTCCCATCCCTCCGATACCGCCGAGTTGTAGAGGACTCCGAAGAATAGTCATCGTCTGAGACGTGTGATACCAGAGCGCGAGTTTGCCGATTCGAGAAAGGGACGATTTGGCCTTTTCGTTCTCCTGCAACTTTTCATACTCTCTGAGCCGGTTTGCCGTAATTGAGTAGTCGAAGAGCTGTAGGAGTTGTGGGGGCAGGCGAACAATGTAGAATTGTCCGGCCTTGTATCCGAGCGCACACCCAACTGTAGCCGCTCCGAAGAATCGCGCGAAGCCGTAGACGCCGGGTAGAGCACGCGGGTTCAGTGCCAAAAATGCGCCCACCACTCCTCCCCCAAGTGTCGCATCCTCCCACGTCCAGTGCTTTGTCCGTTCCCATAGCTTGCCCGGCTTGGGCTGTATCCCTTCCATCTTGAAGACGCCCCGGTGCAGTTCATGTTGCCCATAGATTCCAGATGCGGTAAATGTGAGGTCTACGGCACCGATCAAGGCGGCGGACTTGAGGAACACGCCAGGTCGTGAGCGGCCAACCAGGGCGAAGCCGCCAGTAACGGCTGCAGCGGCGATTGAGGATCTCCATGGCGATGCGATAAGGTCGCGTTGTGTAGCGATTGCGCCAGGTGGTCTCCCGGTGATGGCATGCTGACTCTCGCCTGGATTATGTTAGGATACTGGGGCTACATCTGGTCGCGAAACTCACCTTCAGGAACCAGCAACCGCACCATGGTGGATTATGACTTTTCCAGCGTGTGCAAAGGTGGAGGTAAAGCCGTGGTCGCCATCGGAGGTTGATGTTGCGACGTTGATGCGGCGTAGACGGAGGTGCTGGAAGGTACGCGCGCTTCCAAGATTCCGAGGGGCGCGTCCATGATGTCGAGGCGAAGATGCAGCGACCCTTGCGATAGCGCATCCGCCGCGACAATCGTACTTGAATACCCTTGCATTACCATTGTTTCCACCAGTGCTGAATCTCCATAAAATGCATGCGCCTGGAAATGTTTTTTGGGTATGTAATGTTATCCTGGAATTATCCTGTAAATCTCCAGGCTACTGTATATCTTGTTGTACGCATCGTTGATTGAACTTAGTGTGCTGCTTGTTTGGAGTGGCAAATAGGGGATTGTGTATAAAAGTACCACGTCAAGCTTACAACCTAAGTTACTTGAGCTTCCGACTATCTCAACGACCAATGGTCAGATCACTCCAAAACTATCAGTGTGCATCGTCTACCATCGTAAGCTAGTCAGATTACCCCTCCATCGTTCATGTTCGTGTTGTGGTCCCCACATATGCGAACGCAGCCGCCCGACACTGAGCCGTAGCTTCACCATGACTCAACCAATTACTTCATTATCAACATGGGTTATTCATGAAGAGCGGGGCGACAAGATGCGGCCAGACCATGAGTACTGAGATTATAGTGCTAGTGATTGACCATCCATCCATCAACAGCTGCAACAGCGCAATGGTCTTATGGTGTATGTACCAGCATTCGTCTTCCGACCAACAATTTCTGACATACAACAGCTAGTGGTATGATTCTCGCTTAGTAAGTTGACCGTGCCACAAGTCGCCCTTCTCATCCTAACACCTCACAGGGGTAAACCCAAGCACAGCTTGCGAGAGGCCCCGCGTTCGAGTCGCGGTAAGACCCATTACTTTTTTTTTGCGTTCGAGAGAGACCTAGTCTTGAAAAGTGATAATAGCTAGTAGTGTGATGCTCGCTTATTCGAGCTCTCTTTTGCTCGGTCGGTTGCTCTCTTGATTCACAAACGACTGCAACACACCCCGCATACATGCTGAGCGACAAGACACCAAAGCAAACAGCATACCTAGATCTAAACACTCAGTCATGGCTAAAGACAACAGGACTGATACTTCCAAATGCGGACCAGGACGGGTTTTAATTAATCCACTTTCTTTGTCTCACTCTATTTGTTAAGCCGTCTCGGAGAGCAAAGCTACATTCATGCCAACAGCAACATCCAAACATTGTAAGGAAATCCGCCTCCATCCTCCGTCTATCCAGAGGTCACTTGGGATTCACAACTTCTATCCGATCTACGCGCGGTCGCCATCTCAGTCGCGCGTGTACCTACTATCAAGCTCTACTTCCGGCCCTTAGTTCTTGTGAACCAGGCATCTTCTTCCTTTCTCTTTGCATCCTCGGCTTGTTTCTTCTGGTCTTGTCGCTCTTTATATTCTTTTCGGTCTGCAGCGTCAGCTACTCCTTCGCAAGCCTGGCACCCACCGCTCGCATAGTAGTCAATTCCGTGCGCTTCACATCGCAACAGGTGCTTTCTGCACCAGCCGGTCTGTCCACACCAGCAGTGGTGTGTTACCTTGGATCCATATTCTCGTGCCATAGTAAGAGAGTAAGAGTTGAAAAGGGTCGCGAAGTCTGTTCAGTTGAGTGCTGGTGTGAATTGTTACGTGTGTTATACTCCACTGACTAGAGAGTGCTCAGCGTATTTAACCACTCTTGCGACGGACCATTGGGCGTTGAGGTGAAAAGCAGTGTAACTACTGCCTTTCTCCAGGCGCTCGTTCTTCATCTTGCTGCTTCATTCGCACATGGAGACCTTTCGGATCGTATCGAGTCCCACAATCTCTTTGTGAAAGTCGCCCTCCAGCACTGTTACATTTCACACAACGCTTACAGGGCCTCTTATAACGTTGAAAATCGCTGTTCCTTTATTGGAGTTTGCCAACTAGACTCCACCACTCCATTGGTCTGGAGAAATGTCCGATACGAAGATGTCACCCGGCGCTACGCCTATGGAACAGACGGAGCCTGCGCGAGATACTGGGAATGACTCGGCTTCTATCGCGAGTTCCGACGTTTCGACTACCTCTACTGAAATGTTCGAACATGAGCCCTTCGAAACTTTCCAGATCAAGGTAGTTGAGCTATGTCAAAAGGAGTGGCCGAACCTCTCTAAAGACTCCTTCACCATCACACATATGGATGGTGGCTCTTACAACCGCGTGATCAACATCCAGGTCGACGGTTCTCGATATCAAGCTAGCTGGCTTGAGCGGCAGGTACGCTGGTTTCTTCGAACGTTTTGTCCCGGTATGTTACGCAAGACGGAGCTCAGAGACTATGTGCTGCGAATACCGCGTATGGAGCATGCGTGGGTTGAACATGAAGTCTCTATCCTCAAGTTTCTTGCAGCGACGAGCATCCCAGTACCCAGGATCAACACTTTCAGCTTCTCAACTGAGAACCCAATTGGTAGTCGATACACGATCCAGCCACGTGTTCCGGGGAAGTCAGTAATCGACGTCTATTCTGACCTCAACACGCAGCAGCGCATCTCCTTCGCGCGAGATCTAGGCTCTGCACTGAAGGAGATGAGCAAGATCCAGTCGCCATCTCCTGGCACACTGAACCCAGACAGCATTCTCGCAGGATCATCAGAAACCCAGCTCCTGCGATTACAATGCCCACCACGAAACGCGTTTCGCCAAACTAACGAGCCCTTCGTGGCAGCTACCCCTAAAACTGTCCAAGAATTCCTCATGTCACAATTCGCTCGTCAACGCGCATTCGATCTAACACTCAATCGCAAATTCTTGAACCCTTGGAAGCCATTTACAGCCATCATTCAGCATCTACACACGTTTGGCTTCCTTGACGACAACATCTACGCACTTATGCATATGGATCTCGAGCCACGCAACATGCTCATCCACATCACCTCTCCCACCACCGCTACCCTCTCCGCAATCTTAGACTGGGATGAGACCGTCTTCGCCCCCACCTTCATGAACTGCCGATCCCCATACTGGCTATGGAATTTCGAAGAGAGCGATGACGAACCGGAAGAGGCTGATGCCAACGACATACCAGAAGACGTCGATCTTGCGGCCGTAAAGAAGTCGTTTGAGGATGCTGCTGGTGAGGACTATTGCAAGTTGGCCTATACGCTTGAGTACAGGATTGCGAGGGATATCACAAGATTGGCCATTATGGGGATTTGGTCTAATATGGACTATGATGATGCGAAGGAGATTTTGAAAGAGTGGAATGCGGCTTATCCACAACTGGAGGTATGTGGGATTTTCGATGATGGGGAAGAATATTAGGGTCGTAAGAGAGTGCGATATTGTCGTAATACTATGAGATGACATGTTAAAAGAAGCGCTTTAGTAATAGATAACTTGACGTCTTTTATGTTTGAGTAATACTACGCCGTTCCTACCGTTTCTACTGATTGCTTTCCTTGATAAAGTTGCAACTCGCTTCAGAATCCGCATTCATCGTCAAATTGGCCTTTTTGAGCACGCGGGACACATTTGTAGCGGTGCAAAATCAACCGTACACCCACTGGACATACTTTCCCTGATGAACGGCTTCAGTTCTGAAAACAGCTAAATATACCACGATCCATTGTCGCACATACCCTACATGGATCACCCAGCTGAAGCCGCGAATCCTTTGGTAGATCAAAAGTTACTGCATCGTTGATCCTGAAACAAAGAGGGGTCGTGATGTGCAAAGAGACATCCTACTCCCAGCCTACAGAAGACCCATCTAGCATCTCTAGGTAAGCCACATCCACTGTTGATCACGCCCTACGCGCATCTCCGCCGTCTATCACGAATGCTGATCAGACATCTGACCAAAAGCCATCTGGTGTGATGCACATCAAGGTTGCAAGCGGCTCGATGCAAGTCCGCCGCTAGCTTAGCCGCAACACTAAAGTTGGGGTAGATCTGGGGAAAGCGCGCGTGGCGCTGCGGAGTGTCTCCGGCTGGACATCGATGGCAGTTACAGTCGTGAGACGGCCCGCACGCTGGTTGGTCGCTTAAAGACATGCTGGGAAAATGGCGCACAAGTGGAGAGGCCTATCTGAGAGCTGGACTATGAGCTATATTCGTTCTCGGTGGAATGAGTCCGATAGATACGGAGATGGAGATTAGAGACAGGTGGAATGCAAGAGGAAGCACAGCAAGTGGCAATGTAGATGAAGTGATAGTTATCATAATTCATAGATGATGGATATATACAATGCTGCGCTATCAAGCGGAAATCAAACAGCTAGTCGGGTATTTACAAGTGTGGTAGGGAATCTCTCATAAGTCTTCATAAACTCCATGAAGTAGATGCTTAGACAACAGTCTTCTCAGGGTACTCGGTGTAGGTAGCGCTCCTCTTGCGGGAAGCATCAGCCTCGATATCAGTAAGGCTGGCACGGCGGTTGTCGGCGTGCATGTCCTGGACGTCCTGGAAGGAGATGGAGGGAACGAAGCCGGGTGACTTCCAGGCCTGGGAGCACTTGCCGTAGAGCTCGTCGACCTGCTCTAGGGAGAGACCCTTGGTCTCGTAGATCATGGCCCAGACGAAGAAGATGCAGATGAAGCAGCATCCGCCCCAGACGAAGAAGACCTTGGCTCCCATGTTGGCGTTGCCGGGTCCGTCGTTGACCATGTAGGGGGTGGCGTATCCGATGGCAAAGTTGAGGAGCCAGTTGGATGCAGTTGTCATAGAGAGCGACTTGGCGCGGACCTTGAGAGGGAAGATCTCACCAGTCACAACCCATGCGACAGGTCCCCATGAGCAGGCGAAGAAGAAGATGTAGATGCAGACGAATGCGATCAAGGCCTGTTGGGCAGCCTGGTTGTCAATACCAGCAACGGTACCGGTGATGGCAACAATGAATTGGCTGCAGAAAGTCAGTATATGTCTCATTTGCACTTCGTACAGTCAGAACTTACCAGACAGCCATACCGACAGCGCCGAAGAGGAGAAGGTTGCGGCGACCCCACTTCTCGACAAGGTAGAGACCGGGGAAAGTGGAGGCGACGTTGACGCAGGAAGTAATCATGGTGACGACGAAGGGGTTGCTGATGCCCGAGTTCTGGAAGAAGGATGTTCCGTAGTAGAAGATGAAGTTGACACCAGTGAGTTGCTGGAGAGACTGGAGGGCGCAACCAGTGAAAAGGCGCTTGCCCAAGTTACCGCGGAAGCAGTCGAGGTAGGTAGCCTTGCCAAGGGACATCTCATACTCGTGGTTGGCAGTAATCTCAGCCAACTCCTCAACAAGAGCCGGGTCGTCAACGTTGAGGCGGCGAAGGGTAGAGAGAGACTTGGCAGCCTTTTCTGGGCGGCCCTTCTTGATGAACCAGCGAGGAGTCTCAGGAAGCCAGATGCAACCGACGAACAGGATGATAGCCCAAGCGAATTGAACAGCGATAGGGATACGGTAGGAGCCAGTGTCGGTCCTGTCCTTTGTGGAGTTGTTGACGATAGCTGCGAGTAGAAGACCGATAGTGATAGCAAGCTGGTAGCAACCAACAATGGTACCGCGAATCCACTTGGGGGCAGTCTCGGATTGGTAGAGCGGGATGGTGGCACTGATCATACCAACTCCGTAGCCAGCGAAGAAACGTCCAGCGACGAACATGGGAATGGCAGTGGCGACGGTCTGGAGAATGACACCGACACAGAAGACAACGTTGCTGACAACGAGACCGAGGCGGCGACCGAGGAAATCAGCAGTGGGTGCTGCGGTGAGAGCACCGAAGAAGGTACCAGCAGAGAGGATAGAGACGATCAAGGAGGTCTGCTCGGCGGTGACATCGAGCATGTTGTCCTTCTTGTTGACATAGCCAGTGCTGAAAAGCTGTCGCCAGTGGTGCATTCCAAGAATACCACCAATGGTACCGGTATCATAACTATACTTGTTAGTAGAACTCTTGAGAAAGGATCAGTCGTGCATACCCAAACAGAACACCACCAAAGGCAACGAACAGGCCGACCAAGATGGCGGGCGCGGTCGAGCCAGCTACGCCCTCAGGCTTCTTCAACATCAGACCCATGATTGGCAACTGTCTGTGGAAGTAAAATGGGTATAGAAGGAAGACTCAAGTCCAGAGAGATGGTTGAGTACTCGGATGAGGATGACTATCACTCCAAGGCGGGCTGCCCATCTTTAAGTACATTTGGGGAACTGTTCACCGAGCCTGGGGATCTCCATGGGCAGCTGTCTAGTCTGGAGACTGGAAGCATGGGGTCAGCGCGCTAGTCCCGCGGTTGGCCAGCAGGCTAGCGACAGTAGGTCCGAAGCGACTGGGGTAGCTTAGTGGGTGGTCTTAGCCATGATGGTGTTGGAGCTAGAGCAGACCAGACGCTGACCACTAGCACGTCGCTGGCCTGTGGATGCCATAGCGTTCAAATCATCGTGAGCCAATTCTAGTAGATTTGGGTATCATGGAGCCGAGATTCAGTTAGCGCAACGTTATCCAGCGGTCCCACGTTCGTGTTGCTGGAAAACGATGGCAAATATCGTCGGGTACGTGACACACATGGTCAGTCTGCTGGCACACGCACCCAACAGTGAGATGACAGTCGCGTGCCGGGGCGAAGACGGGGCGTAGGAGCAGCTAGCTGATAGGACACTAGATGGTAAGCGTCGCCTTTAGCCGTCATGACCTGTCAAGTCGGGTGCGTGTAAGCCATGAACCACTGACCTCATGCTGCGGGGATATATCTTGGTATGCAGGCAGACACCGTTCATCGCCTCTGCTTGATAGACGTGGTTGCAGAGCAAACCACGAACCGATGTTCGTCTGTCGGTGATCATCGAACGAGCACAGCGCACCACTCGACAAATCCGTGATGTTTAGCTGGACAGTGTGATCACCAATTGGCAACGCGTGTGCAGACAAGCCTTTCCATGCGCGATTGCTTAGACGGACGGCATCCAACTGTTTGCAGTATGGTTGTAGAAGGATTCTGGAATATCGCGACTCCGGTGCTCGGTGTTGCTAACATTGGCCGAAGAGCTGATACCAGCGGGTAGTCTGTGGGAACCCAAGCGCATATCGAAGAGGTGGGGAGATGAGTAGCGTGCAGGATTTTGCTTCTGGCCGCGCCAAAGTCGCAGAAAGACCCCAGGGTAAACGGGGTGCATTAGTTCCCATGCCCTCCGTGAGGCTCAACAAGCATGCTAGAGCACGATAGCGTGGTCTCGGCCAACCAGATGGGGCGGCTACTGTAGCCTCGAACCATGCACCCAGCGCTTGGTCGAACTGTCGGGAGGATTTTCTTGGCCTAACCGATGTAGGGCTGGCAGTCCGGTAGTGTTTAGCTGCGCAGTGCATCTGGAGGCGAAAATCTCGTATGCATGGAGTCTGGCAGCAACTCCGCTCAATAATCGGGGTCCACTCGAGACGTGTTCTTGGAACACAACACGGCTGGTCATGTGGTCTGGATACCGAGATCCACCAAGGCTGCTCCGATATGGCGTGTCTAGAGAGAATCGCGGCACGGAGAGCTGGTAAAGTCGGAGTCGCCTCCACTATGCATGGGGCGCGTCACACCAGCGTGACTCCCCGTGGAGTACGAGTTTCATGGGGATCACGAGACTCGATATCCAGCTGTCTCGTGACATTTGTGCCAGGATGATGGTGATTTTGCAGAGATGACGAGTTTGTGCCAAATTCACAGGTCAGGTCAAGCTCGTAGGATCCACGTTCAAGCTCGCGAGCCAAGACGGCTTGGCCGAGGCACGCTGGCGCCAGGCCGGATAGTCGCTTCCTCCGATCCGAGAAGTCGGAGGCACTGACCCGTAGTGTTCTCGGTATGAGCATGTCATGACACACTCTCATGAAGTACATCTTTGTGTATGGCTGGGCTACAACGTCCCAATTGAAGGCGATCTTATCGTAAGGGTCTCATGCGCCTCCTCATAACCCTGGAGACATGACGACAGCATCTGCAGGCTGCGCAGTGCGAACATCAATGCGGGGGATCGACGCAAGCCACAATGTTCCCGCCACTGTCTGCGAGGTCACGAGAGACACGACATCAGCTGAAGGGCATGCGCACGCAGCACCAGGTCTACCACGGAACACAGTACGCGCTTGACATGTGAATGACGAGCCCTGCCCCCGATCTAAGAATGGATACATTCAATGCGCATATACCCTCGCAAACGAATGCGACTTTTCCTCGCCATTAGCAGAGAGCAATGATGGCCAGGCAAGCGACGTCCCTTGACCTGGCACCAACCTTATCTCCTCTTGGAGCTCTCCACTACAATTGTATCATTTCAAGCTCAATGTGGTACTCTGCAATGGAGGAAGATTCCGTCGACTTTTGAGACGTGTTCGGTACTTACAGGAGGGTTACAAGTAGTCCGAGGACCCAACACTTGATTCAAGCTCTAATCCAGGAAATGTCATGGTATATCGTTCTAGCAAACATCAAGTTGATGCAGAACCTTGAGTAAGTCATAGAAAGTAAGGAGGTGCTCACTGTCAACAGAAGCAAGTCGCACCTTCCTCGCCAACCAGCCAATGACAACGCACCCCAACGCGTCGTCTCTTCCCCACCAAACGCGTCCTTCGTCCACCCTCACCGCCCCTCCAAACAACTCAACTTCCATTCTCGCAAAATTATGTCAGGCACCCCAATTCCCGTCCACGAGCCGCCGTCTCTGCCATCGTCACCCCTCCCCAAGCGAACCAAAGTCATCGACCCCACTCCTCTCTCGCACGCCTCCACTTTACCGCGAGGAACAGACTCGGGCGCCGCTACACCCACACCCCTGGCAGCTTCACACCTCCCCAGCCACGACAACATGGCAGCATTACAACCTTCAGCGCCAGTCGGCGCTTCGTCATTAGCTAGTGCAGCGGCGGCGGAGCAACAATTGCAGGTACAATTACTGAGTCCGAATGCTAAGGCGCCGACAAAGGGAAGCGCTTTCGCTGCTGGACACGATCTGTACAGTGCAGTGGAGACTGTGATTCCAGCGCGGGGGCGAGCATTGGTAGCGACGGATATCAAGATCTCAGTACCGGATGGGACGTGTACGTATTCTTCCTATACATCAATCATGGAGGAGGTTGCAGTAGACATTATGCTAACCATTGTCCAACAGACGGCAGAGTAGCACCCCGCTCCGGTCTCGCCTACAAACACGGCATCGACACCCTCGCCGGCGTAATCGACGCAGACTACCGCGGCCCCGTCGGCGTCATCCTCGCCAACCTCTCCGAGAACGATTTCCCCGTCAAGATCGGTGACCGCATCGCCCAACTCATTGTCGAGCGCGTCGTCATGCCCAGCGTAGTTGTCGTCGACCAATTGGAAGATACCGTACGAGGAGCTGGCGGCTTCGGCAGCACAGGAGGCTTTGGCGCAGCGGCGACCGTTGCAACACAGGCGGCGGAGACGGCGACAGAAGCTGCCGAGGTGGCAGAAGTAGCCGCGGACAGTGTGAAGGCTTAGGTAGTTGCACGCCAACTTAGGAAAAAACTAAACACCCTAGAGCCTACGTTAACGTTAGGTCACCCACTTTGCAGGTCTTAAAGTAGTCTGCAGGCCTGTTCGGTTTTTTTGTATGAGGTGGTAGCCACGAATTGACGATGCTTTGGCATTCATAGAATTCAACGCGTAACGTCTACACAACCAAATATCATGAATCACCCGCCTCCTTCTTCTCTCCCTCTCCAACAACTCTGCCCTGAGTACCTGACTGAAGCACCTGCATCGCCCCACCATCCTTCGTGCCAACACCCAAATGCAGCACGTTCAACTCATCCGGCTTCCTCGCCCCAACATGCGCTGGTACACTCTGCCCCTCATACACCGCGCGTGGCTTGAACCGCTCCAGATCCGGCGGATCAATCATCTCTTTGACATACCGCGGAACCGTCACCTCACTCGCATTCATAAGCGCCAGATGCCTCTTCCTGCTAACCTCCTCATCCGCCTCATCACCCTCACCCCGCCCTTCCTTCGCAGCACGCGCATCATACGCAGCCATCTTCTCCTGACACGCAGACGTCGTGCGCGTGAGTATAGCTTGCATGGACGCAAGAACCTTCTGACACGCCTTCGCCAACGGCAGTTCCTCAGCCGGCACATCGTCTGGTGAGCGCCAGCTCGGTTTCGCGTGCAAATCAAACTCGGGTGTAGACGCGTCGTGTACGGCTTCGATGAGACGCGGGATCGTGAGCGCAGCAAACATATCTCCTGTTCCTGAGAAGAAGAGGGGGAGTTGCGGGGTGTCGATGCGGAAGAGACGGGGTTTGTAGTCGGAGGTTGCGGTGGAGCCGATGATTGTGAGGTTTTCGATGTCGGAGAGGTCGATTTGGGGGGCTTGGAGTTGGGGGGCGGGCTGGGATGTTGATGCGTCGGCGTGATGGGGGTCTGAGGGAGTGTGGGTGCCGGTGCCGGCTTTGGATACTGGTCGCGAGGGTATGGTCTGGTTGTCGCGGGTCAGGCGGAGGGAGGTTATGATTACGTGGGGGACTTGGTAGGTCTTGTGGAGGACTTGGATGGCGGCGGCGAGGGACTTGAGGTCGGTGATGGGGGTATCGGACAGTAGTCTGTGTCTCTGTTAGGAAATGTGACTCGTATGCGATTAGTCTCCAGATGTACTCACTCGGCCTCGAACTGGTTCGGGAGTATGAGATCTGCCTCGCGCAACAGCCCCTTGTACTCTGGTACTTCGTCTTCTGGAATGTACAGCTTGCCATTGTCGCCCATGACCGGATCGAGTACTGTCTCTGTCAGTCCTGCCTCCTGCCACCTCACACAAGAACCCACCCCAGAAAAAGCTGCCCGGCTTCGTGCCAGCATTGAACTTGATATCTCTGCCAATCGTCCCTATCGTCTGTACGGCCTCGGCGCTGGGCATGTATCCGGTCAAGAGTACGTCGAAGTTGGTAAGGTTCGCTTGCTGTAGCCCTTCGTAGAGTTCGAGGATTTCGCTCGCGGAGGTCTTCGTGCCTTTGACTTGCTTGTACGCCGTATGGTTACCTGAGATGTTTGTTAGCTATGCGCCAGTCGACAGAAATGAGCTACCTACTGTAGTGCACAGTGTTGATCGCAGAGACGTCGCAACCTAACGATTGCATGACAAAAGTGGCCATTTTGTTCCCAACATAGCTCAGCTCAATGTCAGTGTACTGCATCTACCGCGACAACACGCGACTCACCCATGGACCACCTATAGCATGTTAGCAAGAAACAATGTCCCGCGCGTGAGTCTTACATGACTGGCAATCGCAAGCACGCGCGTGTCCGGTATCAGCGTGTCAGAGGCCATGATGTATGATAGTAAGAAACAGTCAAGTAAAGGAGGTGAAATGGAGTGTGCAGGCGGGGTCCGTTGTTGATTTACTGTTGATCTCCTTATCTGAAATTCCGCGACATGACGTGAACCCGTTGGTGGGGCAGTAGCTTTCCTTTTGTGCCTAGGGCGCGGAACACACCACGCGGCACCGCGTTTTCGCCAATGTCGCACGCCAGAACCTTGAACTAACAGACGCTCGATGCATATCAAAGCCATTGCGCCGCAAATCCCCCACATCTATCCTGGAAACATGCCGCTCGTGCGTGAACGAAGTCATGATGCGTTTAGTCCTCATCGCCAATCTGTTCATATTAGCAATGTGTTGGTGTCTTACGGAATAGATACATACCTTGGGCGCGAGGTAGAACCTCAGGTAGCTGGCCTCAAAGGGGTATTCGACAAGAAGGGGAACCTCGCTAGATAGACAGAGCTTGACTTGATTTGACAGCCCGCTCGCCTTGCAGAAGTTGATCAGGTACTTGAGAGAGAAGGTGAGTGAGACAGGTTCATTCATTTCAATCGAAACGTTGTCCTCTGGCTTCTCGACGCTGTTGGACGTCTTGAGGATGACGGAGCCCGAACCAATGTCGCCAGAGCATGCGAATTTGATTCCATCCTTGGAGCACTCAATCGAAACTGGAGCAAAGTTAGTTTGTTGTATAGTGTGCTGTCGCGCTGTCGCGTCTGGTTCGGGACGTACCTGACTCGGACAATGCGCCTAGGTCCCTGCAGATGCGCTGGAACTCAGCCGATGGCATCGTGACGGTTGCCGCGTAGTCCGTCTCAGGGATACCAAGATGTTCCTGGTCGATATCCATGAGCTTAATGTCATACTCGCTCAGCCTCGATGTGGTGCTGGATTCGAAGAGCAGGTTGACGACATCGGGCGAGTCCTCGGCCTTGATGGTAAGGGCGTCATCGTTTCCAGCGGCACGAAGGACCTTTGTGAGAGAGCCGAGGTTGATTCCGAGCGCGATGTTGCGGTCGCAGCGGAAGGGTTCGAAGGCTTCGGATTTGAGCATCATGGAGACAAGGGCGACGTGCGAGTTGTCCATGGCCTGGAGCGCGATGCCCGAATCATTGCAGTCGAAGTTGCAGTCCTGTACGAGGTCCTTGATGGCGTCGACGACCTGTTGCTGTCAGAAGAGCTTTTGCTACGCTTCCTACGCGAACGTACCTTCTTGAGAATCGAAGCCTGGGCTAGTTTGGCCTCGAGCACTGCAGATGGTTAACTGTGTTGGCCACGTGTAGAAGAAGAGACGTACTGTTGGCTGTGGATTGAGATTAAGAGGGTACGATAACGCTGACGGGGGTATACAAAGCGCGGTGGTGCAGGAGACAATTGCGGTGGAGGCAACAATCAATGGAGGGGAACGCGAAAGTGGTTGGCGAACGCGTCGGCCACGCGCTAACTCAGCACAGGGCATAAAGTACCGCCAAGACCATACCCTTCGTGCTTGAATGGTTCCGGATTGCTGTAGTACTAATTGCTCCTGACACCTGGGCAATGAATACGCTCATTATTATTGGAGTGTCTGCCGAGGAGTGCGTTCTGACTGAACGGCTTGCAGCATTCGGAAATATATGAGATCATATCAATTTGATTCGGGTATCAAACATCGCGAATCGATGCATTTAGGTGGGTATCATGATGAGGTGATGCATCAACAACCCATCCGCATCCCGAAAGCACTCTTCGTACCTTCGATTACTGCTCGCTCACTCTACCAGCTGCATGGACCGCATAGCCTCTGAGCTGCCGCCGAATGCTTCTTTCCATGGCCATGTGCTTGTATCTCGTGCATCCGTCACTTGCGGCCATGTCCACCACACAAGCGTTGAAGTCCAGCGCTTCTCTAAGCCATCGATGCCATACCATCCGTGGTATACATGCGCCCTCAACCAAATAGTCCATTTATTTCGCAACATTGCCTTCTCATGCTCTGACCAAGCCATAGAACAGCGTCCAAGTAAGAACGAATCCACTCAACCCTCCAAATACATCGCCCAGCCACAAGTCACCCAGCGGCCGGTAAAAGTATGCGCCGGGCTTGCCATTTGTCTTGAGCGCAAACAGCAGCGCCGATACCACGAGTGATCCGAGGAGGTAGAATATGAAGCCTGTGTAAGACTCGAGGCCTAATGTGCCTGCGGCGACGCCGAAGAGTGATGCGGTGAGACTGCGGATGTTGGAGATGACCTGTATTGGGCTTGTGTTAGTCTAAGAAGGGTGAACAGTGAGGAAGGAAAGATGAGTGTCGCGCAATGGGGTTGATGGGGCTTCGTGGTGTGCGTACCTGAGTGTTGTGCTGTACGCTGCTTGCGACGATGGGGTGGATGGCGAGTTCTCGCTCTTCGTTCAGTGCCGATGCCGCCATTGTGTATGTCTTGTGATCTTGAACAATTGAAGCGTCAGATTCCGACTGGTTGTTGCGTGGATAGGTGTTCGGTCAAGACACGGGCGATGAGTTCGGCCGTGTGGTTGCTACTTCGTCCGGAGCGCCTCTGTGCAGGATCGATTGTGACGTCGTGGATATATGCAGGCGGTGGAGAGGACTGCGATGTATTTGGAGTGCGCGAAGTGTCGTGTGAATGCGCGATGATGCTGTGCTGGCTGCTTGGGGTAGTCGCAGTGCTGGCTGGACCTTCCGACGGTAGTGGAGTTGAGTGGAGGGTGGCCCGTGCCTGGACCCTGCCATCGTCCATGGATGCGCCCGCAAACACGAACTACTCACGAACACCTGTCACATCACCCTTTAATTTGTCTGACAGCACGAGTTACAGAATCTGCATTTCGCTCTATTTATTCAACGATATTACCTATTCCTGCATATACTCATATATCGTCATAAAGGGGACCATATCCCTCGAGATACCTTAATCTGTCAGCCCAATGCTGCTGCATCGTACAGGACGAGCACTCACCGTTCCAGATGTGGGGCCAGGAAGTAGTTTGGCATTTCTCTTGCGGCTCGTAGATATGCAATCGCATGCTGAAAATATCGACCGTTGGCTCTTACTGAAGTGACGTTTCCCAGACTCATGAACGATTCGGCAGCCTGGTTAAAGTTAACGAGAGAACACATCAACTGTGGCTTTACTTATTGTAGACAGCAGATAACCTGTAACCACTCCCTGTTCCGTCGCTACGTATACTGCACGCTGGAGATATTCGGTAGCTGGTAAAAGCAATCCTCTGGCTTCAACATAATCTGGCTCATGCAGTCGTTCTTCAGCTTTAACCAAAGCCCTTGTTGCCGATCCAGTGTTGCTCGTTTCGCTGCTCAAAGATGCCCTCTCCGCCCGAGAGATGCTTGACAAAGCCCTTTGCGCTCGCAGTAACCAGTTGCGGCCAATTACTGCAGTAGTCAGCGTTGCTCGATATCATCTGGAGAAAACTCACAAGCCTGGATGTCGACGTCGTCTGGGTATATTTGTAAAAGAACTAGTAGCTGACGCAGGCACCAGTCTGCTAAGTCTTTGACAGCACCATGATCAGCATCGACAAAAGCCACACGCTGAAAGACGCTGATGAGAGGTACCTGCCAATGCCGGCGTGCTTCGTCGGGAACTGTATCGTTTATCTCGAAGGAGGCAGTAATGTTCTGAATGGCTGGCAATTGGTCTTGCCACGAATCAGGTGACGTATCGAGATTGGTATTGATCAGGTCGACAGTAGTCAGTAAACGTTCGATCATACTGTTGTCCATGCTGATAAGAAAACGATGAATGTCAGGTGGGAAAAGCAATGATTGCTACACATGATCGTGACAAAGACAATACATAAAGTATAAAGTTAAGATAGATCGCTAGCAGAGACAGCCCGCTTGACAATCTGTGGCGTTTTGTTACCCTGTCACGGTATGACTGTCCAGAGGCGCAGCCTTGTTCTTGACGTCCGGATACACTGGAAGACGAATGGGAGTTGCCGAACGTTGTTCGTCATTGCATGTGTAGGTGTAGTGTAAGCTGACCGATTAGTCTGCAACCCAGTCACCCACCCGGACAAGTCTGCGCATCAAGCACCGAAGAAGGACTATCTCGCGACATTTCTATGCTCATGGCTATAACAGTTATATCCGGCCAAGGAGGCAGTGGCGGCAAGCGATCAGAGGTGACATCTAGGCGAGTTCGAGATGTTGGCGATACATCGTACTCAGCACGTTACCTGCGGTTTCGTTCCGTCTGTAACGCCGAAGTTATCCACGGGAAGATATTCACCAGGCGGTCGTTCCATGCTTTGTAAGCTTGAGGCTCACATTTCCATTAGCTTCCGCGGTCAGCACGGAGAATTTTGATGCGACCTGGAGGTTGCTTTTGCGGGATCTGCAAGCCACATGCTTTTGTAGATGCGATGCTGCAGGTACGTCATCGATAGCGTTATCGATTATCCATGGATAGAAACGGCTGTTTCTTTGGTTGTACCATACATTGCAGACTGCTCAGGTACCCGGGCAACGCTGTACCGATAAAGCATAATGCGGGTAAAGTTTACATTCGGTGCCCTATTCAGGCGGTTCCGCTTCTTCGAACATGGCAACGTTGTTGTCGAAATGGAAGGCCGAGTGCATCGCAGCAACTGCGCAATTAGTGTACCGCCGGTGCCAATACAATGCGGCGGAGATGGGTATGGACAGATTAGTCCGGAGCATCAGTGCGAGGACTAGGATGGCATGTCGGAGGACGTGCGGCTGACTCGCAGCCTCGATATCGGAGAACGAGTGAGCGAACGATGGAAGTGATGGTTAAGAGTGCCGTTAGATGAGTCGTTGTTGGAGTGTAGTCAGATGTTAACAGGGGAAACGACGATGCACAGCATGCACGCACATGCCATGCTCGTGAGTCGTCATCCACACCGGCCTCGAGGACAGAGCAGGCGCGCGTATGCAAGGAACCAGGGGCACGTTTGTCGAGGGGTGCGTAAACGAGCGAATGTTCCCCATGATTGTTTCACACCAATCACGAGTTCATTTCCGGACCCTGACCTATACCACTATTACTACCAGAACCACTCACACTCACCTACACCGCGCATGTGTCTCCCACGCTCCTTTCCTGCCACCAGCCGCCTCGTTACCCGTTGACAGCGCCCACGATTGGATCCCACGCACAACACGCGCCGGCCCCTGCAGCAGCCATCCCCGCCATTTCCATATCACGGGCACCTTCCCTCCCTAGCCTAGAGCACCCGCAGTCATCACAAGCGTTGGAGCGGGACCCTACAACAACACTCGAAATCGCACCATGCGGCGGTAGCGACATGGAGAACATCATATCCGACGGCTCGCCTCTTGCGCAGTTACTAGAAGGTGCGACCCGCGGCACCACAACGATGACGATATTGCGGATGCTAACCGCTGTGGCTTAGGTCAAGGTACTGGGTCACCCGACAACTCCCCAGCGCAATCCCCATCGCAGTCCGCCTTCCCGCAGAGCTTCGCGCCCCGGGGCCCTTCGACGCTGCAATCGCGGATACGAGACAGGCTGCCCCAGCCGCTGCGCATCCACGCCCGCCATGGCTCCATCGCTCGCATACACACGGCGTGTTCGGTAGGACTGCGATATTTCCCCGGCAGCATATGGATGTTTATTAACGTAACTTAGAAAGCCGTCAACTCTCGCATTGGGCGCGCCGACAATGAGCGCTTTCTGGAGCAGTTCCGCTACCTCATCGTCGCTTCCCAGCTGCTCGGCGAGCAGGGAGGCCTTCGCGCATCCGCCGTTCCCAGCTTCGCGGCCAACGGACGCCCTGGCCCTCACGAATTCAAGGTCGCAGCGATAAATCCCGTCGGCGCGGCTTTCATTGGCACTGCAACCTTCATACTGGCATGGCTTGTTCACTGGTCGCGACGCCAACCTGCATTCAGCAAGAGTAGGACCCTGCTGGTCATTCTCGTCTTCGCTGCCATTGCTACCGCCGGCTACACGTACCTGCGACGGCAATGGCTGCAGTATCTGAGGCAGGAGGCCGTCAAGGGCGCATCTGACCTGGTCGCGAACCTGCAGGCGTTCGAAGCCTCGACATCATCTGCCCTTGCATTGATCCAGGAGGTCGAGCTCGTCTCGCGCGGCTATCGATTGTACGTCTCCATCCAGCCAAAGCTTGTGGCACCCGCACTAACGCCTCGCAGGAGCAGCCCTCTGCCTCCCATCTCGCGCATGGAAGAGAGGGGGCAGGCCCGTCGTTGCCAGCGACTGCGTCGGAACCTCCGCGCTGCATATGCCGACATCGTCCCCATCCTCGCCGAACAGTGTGGCAATCTGAAGCAATTGATACCAGAAGATGATCTGGAAAAGTACCTCGATGTGTACGAAATCAGCAATCCGGACCTACAAGAGGCAGCCCTGAGCTACAGCGAATCCGAATTTGATGACGCCGAAACGCTGAAAGCGCTGCGCATCCTGCAGTACCGATTGTCCATCCTCCGACGCGTATACCTGTGCTCCCTTCTCGCTATGGAGGCAGACGGCGGTAAGCCTGACTTTGCGCGATGGTCGACAGTCGTGGACTCCATGCTAAATACGGCTCGTCCCGTGGGAGAATGGAGCGAGAAGTTCAACCGCGTGCTCGCCGAGGAAGAGCAGTTCGTACTCCCGTCGCCGGCCAAAGTTGCACCCACGCCTGGCCGAGAAAAGATACGCAATTCCGTGCGCAAACTGTCGGGCTTGTCGAGTGGCATCCGCGGCTTGCAAGCCAAAATGCAGGTACTTCGCGAAGAGACCAACAAAAGCTTAGAGGACACGGAAGACGTAACCGATCTGGGCCACTCTCTCCTGGTGCAATACGACTCCATTGGTGCGGATCTCAAGAGTTTGGTCCAAGCTTGGGAAGCTGGCAAGAACGCGCTGGCTCTGAACATCGATCGCCACGAACGCAGAATCTCGCAGGCTTCGAGTGGGCTGCGCTCGCCAGTTCCAAGCCTAGGCGGCCTGACTGCTGTAGATGAAGGCAGTCCGTCTGATGCTCTACGCGCCCTCAATGGTGACTTGCTGAGCCCCCATCAGAGTGCTCCGTCGAGCGATCAAGGCAGCAATTCCGACGACGAAGTGTTCGAAGCTATTGCTATACCCAAGACACGAGCCACTATGTCGAGAGAAGAGCGCATGCAGAAGATCCAAGAAGACCGCGTTCGGCAAGCTTCGCTACGTGAGCAGCGAGATGCGAGCACCAACATGCTGAGAGAATTAGAGTCTGTCATCAATCTCAGACCACATCGAGTCTCGGCGCCCCCGGCCGGCGCTCGAATTACGAGCCTTTGAGGCATCTTTTCCTTTTGTTTATACGGTTGGACTAACGACGGTCGCTAGATGCCGCGTTTCTTTCGCTTGCTCTACTTCTTGGCGCGCATCGGGTCTCAATTTGATTTTGGGCATTTACGCTATACCATTGCCGCGGTCGCATTTACTTTCCTACACATGTCTTGGAGTCAAAGGCTTAATGTCTATAACGCATACCTTGTGGTCAGAACATCCACACAGAATAGTAATGACAAATATCAATACCACCAAAGCGAACCACAGTCGGGGTGCTCTCAAACGATCTGTCGTTCGTTCGGCACTTGGCTTCCGGGCCATGGAGCGTCGACGTGGCTGACGGGTGTTGGCCGCGGAAAATTAACCATCCCTGGACCTCACGGTAGCGAGATGCGGCTATTGGCAAACTAACAGTATACGCCTTTTGGGACAACTTGCATATGCGAGGGCTTGCGAAACCACTTCATGCACTCAATACGTATTGTATTGACGTCAGGTACGTGGCACTGTATGACGATGCGAGACGCTGTCACTTGCTCTTGCGCAAATGGCATCCATCTTGGTTCAATCTTACTCCACCAACATGGGAGGCAAGACGGATGACCTCAGCAGCGAAAGGCGTGATTCATCCGTGCGCAGAGTCGAATGGACAACGTATGACTATCGGGTCGAATGACCCTGGGATGCTTCGGATAGCAGTTGCAAAAACGCCTGTGAAGTTCCGCTTCCAGGGTGATGAGGAGCAGCTGAAACTGGATTCACGATCGACTGCGACCCGTGGACTAACCGCTCTTGCCCAAGACGACCGGGTGATCCTTCCCGTTGGGCTGCCTGACGACTCAGTGCCCCTGCCATGAACCTGAGACGCCGTTTCTACTTTCCCCGAGAACCATCGTCACTTCACCCATCGCTTCACGCCAGTCAGGGTGGGCCCCAAGTGAGTCTGCCATATTCTACCATTGTTCTATAACTCTTGCCGATGACGAACGCCCCGACATGAGTGCCTTCTTCCGGGTCTCCGGCGGAAAGCGCAGCTAACGACCCTGACCTTTACCGATTACGTAGACCGCATGATTGCTCTTTCCGTCATCAACACCGACATATGCGCGCAGCAAACCCTCCAACATATCCACGATATAACAGAAAGAGTCAAAATTGACAGATGAACACACAAAAGAGACGGATAATGAAAGAGCTACGACCAGCGAGCCTACAAAATGTCTTCTTCGTGAATGGCTGTATCGGGCCGACTTAACCCTCCACACAGACGGCACCGTCAGGAACTCGTTCAGTCTTCGTCCTCATCAACGACGCCATCGGTCCTCGGCACAGGTGGAGGCGCACCATGCCGTCTGCGCATATGCACTCTCAACCCATCCGAACGAGCGTACTGTCTTCCACATCCGTCGATGGGGCATGGATAACGAACCTTGGCCCGACTGGACCCTGCGCAAGCCTGGGTTTTGAGGTGACGCGTTAGGTTTCCCAGCGCATGTACACCTGTCAGAACGGTTCCGCAGCGATACGGGCACGGTACGCTATACTCGGCGTCGATGTGGGATCCTTCAGGAACCTGTATCGGCGGTATCGGGTATATGGCAGTAGGGGGCGACGCCGGTACGCTCGATGCCGGAGCCACGTAAGGATATGTTTGGCCCTGGCTTCACAGCAACATCAGCATAAGCGAACGACCTTTGAGGAGACCACATACTAGCTAGCAGCCATGGAGGTCGTCAAAGGCGCTTGGGTCGTTCCCATGGCATGGTATCCCTGATGCGTATTGTATCCTATTGGTGGATAGGTACTTACGTAGCTATTACTCAGTCAGCGGGCGGGCGATATTGGACTTTATCCAGACACATACCGGGGCCCACTAGGGAAGGGGTTCGGTGTTGCGTACTCAAATTGCGCGATGGGACTACTCTGCGGAGCGCTTACTGCGTCAGTATGACTTTGATATGCACTACTCTCGACGGTATTGTGTCCTGGCGACAGAGGTTGTTGGTAACCACTGTTGGGATAATGGATTCCATAAGGCTGAGGATACTCAGGCGATACCGGCACCCAGCGCTGAGGATACCCGCCGAATCCGGATGAAGGTGCGGTTACTCTCAAAGTCTGCTCAGCTCCAGTATCGCAAACTACTGTCGTTGGGAACGGGGCTCTTCTTCTATACGCATCGCTTCGCTGCGACCACGAGCCCTCGTTGCCACCCTGCGTCTGATCGTACGCCATGCGGCCAAAGCTACCCAACAACGTCCCGGACCAAAGTAGAGCAGGGTTTGGCCACGAAGAGATATGAAAAGGGACGATCTTTTCAAGAGAACGATTTCGACGACGCCCATGAGGTAACGCGAATTTCGTCCGAAGGCCTCCAAATTGTACTGAGTTCAGCGAAGCACCTCCGTGCGCTATGTCTCCGTCAGTTTTATCACGCTCCAACTAAGACTACCCCACAAAAAACCAGTCTTACAAACCAGAGTCTTCCAGATGCAAAGAAACAGAATGAACGCAGGAGCGGTTCCGTTAGTGACCTGGGGTCCGCACAGTGTTTATGCCGCTATCCGTATCCAACGGCGACCGATTCGATTGGGGAAGAAGACGCGCTGGAGCCGATGGAGGACCCTGAGCTGAGACACGACAGTCGGCAAAGTTGACGCCAGGGCATGTCGCGCCTCACCGCGTGTTCGAGTGTCGAACCGGAACGCGGATCAGCCCTGTCAACGTAGCTGCGTCTCAACCTAAACGGCAAGGGATTGTGCGACATTCGTTAGTTTACAGTACACCAATCAGATACGCAACAGTAGCACCAGATGCGGCACAGCACATGACACCTGTTGGTCTTTATGCGATGGGCCTTGTCGCTCAATGTGTACTGCGGCTGCGGCTGCTGCAGCGGGACGCTTATCCTCAAAGACCACCCCAAGAAGCAGGCAGATATACCAGGAAAAGCATATACGCTTATTTTCTGCCGGGCTACCCTGAAGCCATGTGCGCGCATAGTCGTTTATCTCTGAACACTAGGCGTAGACCATCGGTTTCCCGCCACTAAGGTTCAAAGCGCATTGACAAGGCCAATGCTCATACGAGTCTAATCGACAAGCATATTCAGCTGTATTCTAGCGCTTGTATGCTGGTCTTAGCATCTTGTTGACTGGATAGCCGTAATGGAATGTCAGACTAGTACAAGATCTGATGGTCATATCGCGGATATAGGCAACAGGACCCAGGACGGGCGGAACGGACGAGCATAATATACGTTCTAGCCTCGGTCGCCCATGCCTGCCATCTGCGCGTCTTACTTGCAGCGGCACTGTGACGAATACCAAGCCGCATGGCGTTTCGCCAACATCTAGCGTCTATCAAGGGCTCTCCCGATCAGGTACGCATGTTGCAGTATCGAGGACGGTCTTTTCGAAAAACAGAGTGGGTTGACGGGACGGCTCGTGACCGGCGCAGCACCGGCTATTAGTGGAACACGTTCTCGCACAATCCTGCCTAACCGATCAGCACGGCCGGCCCGAGACCTTTCCCATTCGCAGGGAGCAGCTTCCTGCATGATAGAGCATGTTTGCATTCACTGTCTGTCGGCAAAGGCGTCACTTCGAGGCACAGCAGGCGACTACATATCTGGACCCATATGCTTACACTCACTGTCCCAGTAGGGTCGCTACTATGGTGCAAGGAAATGCGAGGATCTAGAAAAGGAGGAACGAGAGGGGTGCCCTTTTGGGAAACAGTCAACCCATTGAAACAGTCTCTTTCACTGTCGCCGCGATAGGTATACCCGGCTACTTGGCTCCATAGTAGTGGGTGCGACCCGGGCCTGCGGAACAAAGAAAGTCTTTACGCTCTACCATACACCAACGTTTCGATTTGCCGTGTTACTAGGACGATGACGAAGATGGCTGCATAGCCACACGACCCGCGGCAAACAAGGTTTGGGAAGCGGGAGTGTACATACACCTGAGGCTTAGGTCGAAGAATGTATGACGGACCGAATCACATCTCGTCGCGCTTTGTATCACCATTATGTGCAGCTATTCGACAAAGCGGCACTATAGTGAACAGGGTTCTTACTACATAGTGCGATATGTGCATGCATGCTCTGCGCGCGTTGATCGACGCTGGTCAAAAGGATTGCACACACGAGCAGTAGCAACACGGCTGCATTGTTCTTGGCCTTTCTCCTATGGTTCTCACCTAGCAAAAGAGCCCCCACATCCGAATTCCATAACCTTCGGTAAATCATGTCGGGGTGCGCATGCGAAGGACTTCGCGCAAGAAAAAGCGGTGAAGCTATGCAATCATGGACATGCTAGTTTGCCTTCTCTGCACGCTGCACCGTCTAGCAGCTTTCTCAAATGCAGCGCCTGCAAATTTCGAATGCTTGAAGATGGCTCCTCAACCGGCTATGCTCACCGATCAAGTCGTTGAAGCTGTCAATGCGTCGGAGGATTTGGCGGCCTTCTGGCCCGAGGCTGCGCCCTCGCCACATTGGGCAGTAAATGCATGGGAAGACGAATCATCCATGCACGCAACGTGATGCACTGCATGTAGAGCTTGAGGGGATATCAGCAAACTTACGAACCAAGATACTCTAAAGTTGCTCGTAGTACATGGCGAGATGGATTTGGAACCTTGCACACGCTGTCCGACCATGAGCATACGTCATCGCACTGCCCGAAGGCGGGCAAGGCCTCTCCGCAGTACCAGCACGGAACGATGTCAAGCCACGCGGATGGTATGGGTATGTCTCATTCGAAGACTCATTGATATGCTGCGAGACCGTTCGTATATCCGCTATCGAGGTTATCGGCATGCAGTTTCGCAAGCTATCATACACAGCCCAAGGGAAGACCTTCTTACACGACAGATGTAGCAAGTGGTGTCAAGTGCGCTGGTCGTACCATCAGTCGACTATCAAGAGGCAACGTTACGCTAACTTTATTCTAACAACGTGGGATTACAGGGTGGTAGTACGAATGACCAATGATCCTGCGGAA